ATAACAAGGTCCAAGTGTCCCTGTAGCAAATGTACTGGGTGCCTGGGGAAATAGCAGCTAGTCCTTGGGTGTGCAAACACCGGTGCTCGCAACAAGGCTAAGGGTGCTCGGGGTGAGCATCTCCTACGCAGCTCAGAGCCTTTGCGTTACACACAAGCGGTTCTCGACTTACAGCCGTTCGTTTAGCGACCGTTCAAAAGTACGACGGCACTGAAAAATGTGACTTGTGCCCAGTTTTCACACTTATGACTCTTACCACCACCCCGTGGTCAGGTGATTCAAATTTGGGCGCTTGTCTTTATGACAGTTGCACTATCCCTCAATTGTGATGGTAAGTCGAGGACTATCTGTATAAGGTTTCTAATTCTATTCCACAAACACACACACACCCCAAAGGAAAAAAAATGTTTATCTACATTGCCTGCTGTTCGGCTTTTGCGAAGTTCAGAATCAAAACACCAAACTATCAACCGTGGGCTGAATTCTCACATCCCAGCCACCAAGGCTTGTAAGTGGCCCAGAGTCACTCGGTTGAGTTGGGCGGATTTAGAAAAGGAAGGAAGGAAGGAAGGAAGGAAGGAAGGAAGGAAGGAAGGAAGGTGAAGGGAAGGAACTAAGGAAGAAGAAAGAAAGAAAGAAAGAAAGAAAGAAAGAAAGAAAGAAAGAAAGAAAGGAAGGAAGGAAGGAAGGAAGGAAGGAAGGAAGGAAGGAAGGAAGGAAGGAAGGAAGGAAGGAAGGAAGGAAGATGAGATAGATGGAATGAAGAAGGAAGGAAGGAAGGAGAGAAGGAAAAGATAAGAAAAAGGGAAGGAGAGAGGAAAGAAAAAGTAAGGGGAAAGAGGGAGAGGGAGAAAGGAAGGAAGGATTAAGAGAGAAAAAATATGGAAGAGAAATATTCTGAGAGAGGAAGGAAGGAAGGAAGGAAGGAAGGAAGGAAGGAAGGAAGGAGAGAGAGAAGGAAAAGATAAGAAAGTGGGAAGGAGAGAGGAAATAAAAAGTAAAGGGAAAGAGGGAGAAAGGAAGGAAGGATTAAGAGAGAAAAAATATGGAAGAGAAATATTCTGAGAGCGGAAGGAAGGAAGGAAGGAAGGAAGGAAAGAGGAGGGAGGGAAGGAAGGAGCAAGAAGAAGGAAGGAAGGAGATGAAGGAAGGAGCAACAAGAAGGAGGGAGGGAAGGAAGGAAGGAAGGAAACCAGCCAAAGCACGGGATAACACAGCGCAGTGTAGAAACGCAGCCAGCATCTGGGTCACGGACACCCACAGATTCGGGTGGGACATCACAGCTAAGGGTTGACCCCGCTTACAACTCAGGCCTGGATCGGAGGGGGGGGACCCACGACGCAGCCCCTTACCAGTTTGGGCAGGCTCCGCCGGGAGAAGACTCGGCGAGGGCAGCGGAGGTGAAGGTGGGCCGAGCACCAGCTGCGCATGTTGAGCCACTCCACCGTCCGGGAAGGGAGAGGCCCGTCTTCTCGATACAGCAAAATCAG